AATATCTCAAGCACTATCGCAGTTAGGTACTTGCAACCAGTGTATAGTAAAGGGAAGGGACATGTCAAATGACTGAAATACCACATATGATCATGTGACCTCATTAATATGCATATCTGTAATATCTAAAGCACTATTGCAGTTAGGTACTTGCAACCAGTGTATAGTAAGGGGAAGGGACATGTCATATGACTGAAATGCCACATATGGTCATGTGACCTCTTTAATATGCATATCTGTAATATATCAAGCACTATTGCAGTTAGGTACTTGCAACCAGTGTACAGTAAAGGGAAGGGACATGTCATATGACTGAAATACCACATATGGTCATGTGACCTCTTTAATATGCATATCTGTAATATATCAAGCACTATTGCAGTTAGGTACTTGCAACCAGTGTTATAGTAAAGGGAAGGGACATGTGATATCTGAAATATCAGATGACCATATATGAACATGTGACCTCATTAATATGCATGACTGGCATATCTCAATGACTGTTGTAGATATAAACTTGCAACCAGCACTATAATGAAGACGCTGGACAACAGATATGATAAATATATCTGATGACCATACCACATTATTTTGCATAACTGTCACATTTCAAGCACTGTTGCAGATATAAACGGTAAACTATTACTTTAATAAAAACATTGGACAGCAGATGTTACAAATGTATCAAATGACCATATATGGTCATGTCACTTCATTAATATGCATAACTGTAATATCTTATGCACCATTGTCGATAGGGACATGCAAACAGTGCTATCAGTGTATACAGCAAATGTGCCTAGTGTCTTTGGTCATGAGGGCCCGGAACCCTGCTGCTATACAGCTATATTTCTGAATGTAATTAGTTATTCATCTCAATAGGCACAGGGTGGATGGGTGAAGTTGTTTGGAGGATATTATCATACAGCGGCGCTATTAATACAGAAGAACCGTTGGACAAATGTATATATCCAGATTTTCACTACCGCGGTCCACGACCTAATTACGAAGTCATAGCTGAGATGCCTTCACCGCGGATCGTTGCAACGCATCTACTTCCCTCGTTTCTGCCGCCACAGCTGTTCGATGTACATCCAAAGGTGAGATGTGCTATCAATAAGTATACTTATTTAGTTCATTTTGTTAATGAATCATTTTGGGTACACGCTTGTCGTTGCCATTCTTGCATGTTATATCGACCTTGATTGTGATACATACTGCTTTTTGGGTGAGGGGAAGGGGTAAATCTGATTTGCTTGACAGTGTAGAATTTTTTTTTTTTTTTTGCAGATTATATATCTTGCTAGAAATCCGAAAGATATTGCCGTATCGTACCACCATCATTTAACTGTTTCACCAGTATCTCCATCTTATAATACTTATCAAGATTTTTTAGATGAGTTTTTGAGTGGTCAAAGTAAGTCATCATAAAATGAATGTGTAAGTTGTAGAAAATTCAGTAAGTTTAATAGTTTACAGAGGGCCCATGCGTGCGTACATTTATTGCATTTTTGGGGATTCAGGCTCGCGTTAATATGTGTGTATGTGTTATGTCATGGCCAATCATATGATATACTCAATGATGACGGATTCGCCAAACAGTTACTTAAATGACTTTTAAAAATCAATCAAGTTGTTGACATAAATATACTCGTAATAACCTCATATTATTCTAGATATATATTTAATTTTTTGGATGTTACACCAATTAATTGTTGATTTATGTCGAGTTTTGTTGGGTTGGGGTGCGGTGAAAATAAATAAAATAAATTAAAAACATAACCTAATAACACATTCGTTGAGGCAAACAAGTGTCATTTACAGTCATTCACAGTGACTCCACCCATTTTTTTCGAGACTTCTTTAACAGTTATATTTTCGTACAACAGCTCAATGAGCAACTGGCCAAAACACATAAAAAAATCACCTTTTCAATGAAATAAACTATATGAAAAAAGAACATGAGCAATTTATATTTTTAAGATAACACAATTGTGTTAGAAAGTGCAACCATAAATATTATCTAATGTGTTATATTGGTGGTGTTTTACTGAGAATATAAAACGCCAATTTTATAGTGTTTGACGTTCAAAGCAAATTAACTAAAACTAACAAGGCTTTCTGTATTTGAAATTCATGGCAGCGACGATATCACTTATTTCTATTTTAATAAGGAAATCGGTTTATCCAATCTGTCGTTTGCAATCGGATAGCAGCACGCCAATACACGTATAGGTGGACAATTAAGCCGTGTTTCGATTGTATTATATATCAGTGACATATTTGATTTGAATGGAAAACGTTCTAAATGCCTACTCCATGCCATGTAGCCAAGTAGCGGAATATAGTGTAGATACGACAGAATTAGGTAAGCATGTTTGGTTACTCAAGGAGAAAAAGCAGTAAGCATAGAATAACATGGAAAATTCTAGCCCGTACAATAGCTCAAGCAAACAATGCATTTTATGTGTGAAATAAAAATGTATCTACATTTTTAGACTCCACCACTCCACACTGAGCAAAAGAAATGAACTCGTATCATCATGTCGACACAGATCAAAGACATGATGAGACAACCTGTGCGTTTTAATTTCATTTCATATGTTAGTTTGCGAAGTGTATAATGTCGGAGAACGTTATCGTTTTCATTTCTCTGAAATTCCATGTGACTAAGCGCACGTCCGTACCACATGGTGATTGTCACTATAATTTAAACGTGAAGTCAACCTTCCCTTTTATACTCGTAAGACGGATTCTCTACCGCTATCAGCAGATCAAATAACCTAAATATGTTACCATGGCAATTATAGAGCCATTCACAACGACGCATTGTTTTAGAATTAACCAATCATTGTATAGTAATTTGGCATTCAGATATACTTATTATATGAAGTTCCCGCGCCTTTTAAACTTCGTGTGTTTTCTTTCACGTTCAATTTTAAGACCTACACGAAAGAGTATTCCCGCTTAAAGTTATGTATTTCTTCAGTTTGTATCCTGGTAGTATGGAAGTGTTCGATGTTGAATAAACTGTAGTTAGTTTATTTTATTTAACTTAGTCAGACGTTTCTATACCCCCACATATAATACATGCGCGTGCAGTACAGTGAAATATTAAACATGAAGCTCCTGATGAGTTAGGTACTTGTACCTTACGAAACAGTGCTGTCGAGTTTCAATATTCATGTAGTTGTCTTAATTACCGTATCTATTTGCTCTACAAATACTTTGTATTGAGCACTTTTTTTGGAATAATCGACCCTCGTATCTACACTATATAAATATACACTACGTTTGTTATTTGTTGTTAGTCATACTAGGAGATTGGCCATCTCATGTTACCTACTGGTGGAAGAAAAAGGACGATGACAATGTTTTGTTTTTGAAATACGAAGACATGAAAAAGGTAACAGACACAATGTTGTAGAAATAATGTCCCCGGTGTTCGGATTGCACTTTATAGTCAACAAATGTCATCTGTGTACTATCTAAATATTTTTCAGATAAAATCTATATTGCTTATCTTTGTAGGACTTGAGGAGAACAGTTGAAATGATATGCAATTTCCTTGGGAAATCGCTATCTACGGAAACGCTTGAAAGGATAGCTGCAGAGTGCACTTTTAAAGAGATGAAGAAACGCAAAGTGCGGGGTCATATCTGTGATTTTTTAAAAATTGACCCTTCAATGTCACCATTTGTGAGAAAAGGTATTATTCGACATTATCGTAACGGTTAATATATTTTTATTGTGACTACAAAACAGTCGGTTTAAAATTGTGTCACAGTACTAGTGCTCAAAAGAAACATTGAAGTGGACAAAAAAACTGGTCTAAGCTTTTCTCGTTGTCTTTTGAATATATTTTGCAGGTAGAGTTGGTGGCTGGAAAGAACATTTTACTGTTGCTCAGAATGAAGCAATTGATAAATGGTACGAACAAGCTGTTGAAGGAACAGGATTATCATTTGATTTTCTTCCAAAACAAATCAGTTGATTTATTACATCAATAATTTATTAATGATAGTTCTAACAGACCCACGTAGTGAGCTATTTAAATTGCGATGTGCAGATTATATTGCCTATATTTTTGCAAATATGTATGTGAAGGGAATTGTTCATTCTCCGTATTCGCAATGTGACACCATAACTGTTGTAAGCTGTTTATAATGATTAATTAACGTTTAGTTAGTATATTGTGCATAATGGTCTATTACCCAAGTGTTGCGCTCTGAACATTTTACATTCTTCAGTCAGACAAAATTGGTTATAGTAATGACAAATGTGTTCGTTATTTAATACATTCTTGACTGAGAATGTATGGTTCGACAGTATTCTGTATTAATAATATCTTTATCCATGTTGGTAAATATTGATAATTTCAGAGACAATGAATTTCCTTAAGGGAAATAAACATAAATTAGCATTATACGTTGTGTACCTGGCCTCAAAAATAAATCGAATGCATGAATGCACTATATATTCTGCATGTTCAAGTGGCGCAGCGTTTCTGTGGTGTAATGTTGTTATAATATAAATGTGTTTGGTCGTGTTGTTGTTAAATTTACTCATCGTGGTCGACATTTTTAACTTCGCTCAGATATGTCCACACACAAAACGTGCACAACACACTTTATAAATGAACTTGGAAGAGAATTAAGATGTGGGATTTCATTGAAAAAAACACTCGCTTCTGTGAATATTCGTGGAATAGCAGAAAATTGCTCGGGCGATGAGAAAGCAAAACATATTTTTGTGATTTTTAAAAGAATACATCATCAGGAAAGCTAACACATTTCCTAATAATTCAGTGTTGCCTACGAATTGAAATGGATTCCTTATTTTTGAAATGTATACAAAATGTTCATATTGACCATATTCCTTAAATTACTGAAACGTAACAATGTCGCAAAATTACAATCGTCATTAAAGAAATACTGGGGCACAGGTAGAAATGTGGTAAAACATTTAAAAAGCATTTCCAATAGAAAAGAACGAGTTACAAAGTGTTTCCACCAGGAACATATATAAAAATGTGCTTATCACATTTTTAAAAGTAATTTTCATAGAAACACATTCGGGAAAGTGTTTCTAACAGGAATGTGCATTTACCAGAAATATGAAAAATGCTCACGCTAAACACAGTCTGAATATTGACAAGTCCTTGTAACAGGGACACAAGTGTGTTGCCACTGATAAAATTATAATTTTTGTAAAGTGTTAACTTGGAAATATATCAAAGAGTAAGCATAAAATACGATTAATAGATCACGTGTAACATTAATAAAGTTAGTTTGAGTATACCATGAGAACAAGCTTGTATATAAAACAGGTATGATTGTTGTAAATAATAATATTGATCGCATGAAGAGTCCCAGACTTATGTGCAGATGAATACGTGTGTTTACTGAAATTTAAACATTTCGTGATCTTGTAGATACAATACCAAATAATTGTAAAGATCGGACAATTGTTTTTCATTGACATAAGTGTGACGCAAGTGCCCAACCCCTTCCCATGTGGTGGTGTCTCGATTGGCTTTCCGGGCACATACAATTCTTGTGAAAAACGAAAAAATAGTGGAACAAATAAAAAAAACATTAATTTCAAAGAAACATGCTCTCTAAAAATAAATACTCGATTGTAAACCCATCGTCACTCAATATTCGAATCTGCATAGATGCACTACATAGAGGACGAGGACAACACTGAACTAAAATAACCCATATTAACAGGACACAATTAATTCCCAATATCTTGTCCGCTCCGATCTTTTTTTTTTCATGAATCTAAAACGTATATTATCAAAAACAAGTAATGTTTAATTATTGTTTTAAGCAATGCAATACTTGAACCAGCAATATGTAATGTATAATATTATTGCTGTAAAGTAACGCAATTGCAATATGAAAAATTAAGTTCAAACAACACAAACTGAACTGCATTCCCGTTAAATTCTGCATAACACTTCTATAATTTTATTTGGTAACGTAGATCATGTCTCTGGGGGGGGATGCTGGCAGGGAAGTTATGCAGTATGGAATTCTCTCTTCCAGTAAATGCATGAACGTGATCTTAAAAACGTGTTAACCCGCATCTAATAAAATAAATGGAGGCCGCTGCAAATAACTGCTGACACTGGCTTTAACAATTACATTTCCCACACGTTTCGTGACGACGTAACACTTTCATACATTCCCATTTTTTTTCTCAGAAAATCTACAAGACATCATTCGGTTCAAGTTGTTGCTCTTTAATGATGTCACAGGGTGGAGTCAAGTATGGCTAACAAACAGAACTACCCATGTGTTGTGGGTTTATTTTCCCACTGCTACTTGTTAGCATTAGATGTGACTTGTATATGTGTATACAGCCAACAAACAATAACTGGTAACCCTGCTGGTGTAGTCAGTGTGAACGGCTTTTGCGGTCCGAGGTTGCGAGGGCGCGTGCGCCGTACGATCGACGGCAGCAAAAGCCGTATCCAGGCCATAATGGTTTTATCATAAAACTGAATACGAAAAAAAGTTTTTAGTCATGTTATTTTTCGCTCGTCTGGTCTAAAAGAAAATCTATTCGATTTAATCCGGGTTTTGGTAAGAGGCCTTTTTACTGGCGCGGATTTATACGTGGGATCCTAAACGACGCAAACGCGTCAACAACTCTCACACAATACACAAACGAATGTCGCCAAATATATCCAAAAATTACGTTTTAAATGAAACAGCAAATGAACGTAAATTTATAACAATATTTTAACGGTAATACATACGAACTCATTATAAACTTTATTTCTTTATGAATGAACACTACAGACCAGCTAAGTTGTTTATTTACTGACATTCCGAATAATACATAACAAACATATGTTTTCTAGATGCTGGTGTTGATTTTCACAGTTGATAACAGCATGGATGTTTAGTTTTAAACTTGTGACAGGTACATGGTACGTTCACGCAAAATACATAAATATATAAAGATGTTTATTAATGAAAATACTAAATTCAATACATTTATCTCTACATGCACTGTATGTCTGCCGACAATTGCTACGTGTGTGAGCATTTTCGCCTAATAAATATGTTGCATACAGTCGATAATAAGCATTGTGGCTACTATAGGTGCGTACCGTAGATTACATACAAACGTGTCCTGCATAAGAATGCTTATATAGTTGGGTGTTTTAGGTTGTGTGTTTGGTTTATAACGTTATTCAAATGAAAACAGTGTTTTTAGTTACTTCATGAACATAAATGTACCATAAACATCAACACTTTGTAAAATATTTATAGTCTGGTGTTTTGGGTTGAAACATCGTTGGTGATTTTGCTTTCTGAAATGTTTCAAAATTTAATAGCTTTCGAAAAAAAAGATCAGATGTGAGTGGAACAAGAACCACATTTACCACAAAGTACCTAATTAACCACGTATCTCGATTTCTATTTGTACACACATTTAATTATTCCGCATTATTGACACAAAACTTTTATGAAAATGTCATAATGTTTACTTACGAGCTGCCAAACTTTTCAATAATTTTTTTTAATACTGATTGCATGAAGTTGCATTAGTTCATGAATATCACATCAATAATCATTTTAGTGACATTTAAAAAAAACAAACAGTAAAACAGTGTGATTAGAATGTGTTTAATTTTCTTAAAAAAATGTTTTGATATTTCCCTAAAACACTTTTCTAAAAGTACTAAAACACAAATGTTTTTTCAAAAAGGCGAGTGATCCTATACGTTAAAATATTTATAAAAATAGATCAAAAGTGCACTTTATTGTACAAATTAAATCATAATACATTCATTATTAGGATCATACCTTAGTACAAGACAAGATGAGAAATAGATGAGTCAATTACTTACAGCCTACACAATCTTGCCCTCCTTTATCGAAAAACTAATAATATTCAGTGAACAAGACAATTGACCAACACCAAAAATGTGTCTCACATTCAGTGATTCCCAATCTATATAGAAATATAGAAATATAAAGTATAGGATCACAAGCCTTTTTGAAAAAATAACGGTTTAGTGTTACAACTATTAATCAATAATTATTTCAAAAGTATGTGTTTTCAAAAATATACCAACTCACCCAATTGTAAATTTCAAAGTCTTCTGTAATGGATCCCCCGAAAAAAACATTGTGTTTGCAAAACACGGTTTGTTACTCCTAAATAACACTCATATTTGTTGCGTTCTATTTATATTGTATATTTCTAGATAGAACCTACGTAGATAGATAAATTAAAACTTTTGACTAGTGTTTGGAAGAAAGTCGAATGATAATCCAGTGCTTTGAACCGCTTTTTCATACCAATTATTAAATTCTTCGTTTTGGGAAACAGTAAAATGTTGCTTCCAGCCACCAACTTTTCCTGCAATAAAAATGTAAAAGGTGCAATATACTAATCAATGTCCATAAAAGTACAATGTGCAATATCGTTTCTTAGTGGCCTAATTCTTATTGTGTTGCATTAAACTAAGAAAAGTGTTTGGGTGTGACATAAATTGTTTTATATTTCCGAAGTAAGAAATTAATTCAAATGTGTACGTAACACTGAATTGTCAGACAAATACCTTACCTTTTCTGACGAATGGTGATAGATGTGGGTCTATTTTATAAAATTCACAAATATAATCTCGCACCTTTCGCTTTTTCATCGCCTCAAACGTGCAGTTTTCGGCTATTCCTCGAAGGTTTTCCAATGTCAGTGTTTTCTCCATAAAAGTACATACCATTTTAACTGTTCCTTCTAAGTCCTATAAGACAAAAATTGTAACGTTTATTCATAAAGTTTGATATTTGTGTGTTTTGTACGACTTTTGTTACGATAATCAAAGTAACGTGTTTGTACGGATATATTTGGGCAAAATTAAATATGTCGACCACTATGAGTAAATTTAAAGCTCGAGTTCGGCACAAAAATGTCTACTGGTGAATTAGTGTAAACTAAGTTTAAACAATTGTTGTAATTTGTTTACATTCTCGATCGTGAACTTTGCTAACATTCCCACAGCCCGTTCAATTCTGTCTTTGATTCTCTTGCTAGCACTTACAGGATTATCACTGTAGAATGTCGTACTGTTTAATTGTTTCCATTACCTTTACAATGTCTTCATATTTAAAAAAAAGTACATTGTCATCGTCTTTCTTCTTCCACCAGTAGGCAACATGGGTTGGCCAATCTCCTAGTATGACTAACAACAAATAACGAACACGCATATATAATATTTATCCTGGGTACGTGATATACTATAATATGGTAAATAATAATCAAATACTTGAAAATGGAATTGAGAATTAACTTTGTGCACTACTTGTGGTTTAGCCCAAATTATGTTTGTTCCACATGTGTCTTGGAGAATATTTATATATTGTTTTAATACATCGGTGTACATTGTGTTATGAAATAAGTAAATTATAATGTTGTATGTTTAGTACGTATGCTCGCATTGATTGTATTAACGCTTATTTGATCGCATATTGTTTCGCTGAAAAAAAATAGTTTGTTTTGATTGACAATCGAACTACGTCCTTTGTTTGCCCTTTAGTGTATTCGATGTTCATTGTTAAGTTTTACGCATTGGTATGTTCTACAGCTGTCTTACCTGTCCCTCTCATAAAGTCATTGATGAAATGTTGGAATGTTGTATAACTTTGATTAATGGGCATAACAGATAAATGGTAATGGAAAGACACAGCAAGATCCTTTGGGTTTCTGCCGACGTAGATAATCTGGAAACATAATAGATTTGTCATCATTCAAGATATTAAACACAAACAAAAATTGTTCTCAAAAGACATGAGAATGGAACGTCTTTTACAACCAATAGCAAGTACGCTCACAAGGACATATTTCAAACATATGATGTTCATGAACTATCATATATATCCATTGGCCAAAGCAGACAGGAAAAAAAAAACATATGTGTAGGATCAAGTTATGGTGGTCATTGTTTGTTATTATATTAAATGCCATCATTATTACTTTTAATGTATGCCAAAAAGGTAAATCTAGGCAACTGAAAAACAATGACAGCAAGTTATCTAGACAGTTGTTCGCCGGCCATTGAAATTGATTATATATGTCAATATTCGATATTTGTATATACTTGTGTATTTTTTCAACAAACCTTTGGTCTCACAATAAACAGTTGTGGTGGTAGAAACGAAGGAGGTAGGTGGGTCACGATGATACGTGGTGAAGGCATGCTAGCTAGAACTTCATAATTTGGTTTGGACAACCGAACATGTATTTCGAGATATAAACATTTATCCAGTGGTTCTTCCGTATTAATAACACCGCTGCATGATATTATATCCCAAACAATCTCACTCATCAATGCTGTACCTGTTGAATTAAATGTTGAAATACTTATAAATATACTATAATTATTAAAGTTACATTAATAAAGTTAAAATATATAATTAGATTATAAACTTTAAGCATCTAATTATATTTTGATGTATTTCTAAATGCACATCAGATTACCTCTCAATGTTGCATTGTTGACAAGTGAGTAATTTATTATTGTTTTCAAATGACATAAATTTTCGGATACATTATAGGTATATTAGATTAGACGGAACTTAACATATTTTTTAGAAAATGCTGTTCTCTATTCGAGGTGTAAATCAGAATATAAATATAAATTGTAAATGGTGTATCAAACGTCTTCAAATACAGAAACAGATACAGAAACGAAGCCTCACATCACATTACATTGCATAACCCATGTATATAATGTTATTACACGTTTCTCGTAACCCTTGACTTTTAAAATGTTCATTGATTCCATTCCAATATAATTATTCACTTGTATCTTATTTTAACAAATTTTCAAAAACATACATTTTTATCCTACTTTGTTGATCTTCGTCATTTCAAATGCCATTCGAAAATTGTACATTTCCTGACAAATTGTTACATTCTTTGTTTTCAGTTACTATATTGATTGAATAAGACTAGGAAACTCTTGTTGAGAACAACCAAATAACTGACGAGCAACATTACGATATTTATGTCCCAATCTGTAAGTTAGATGGTACGAATATCACGACGTTGTTACGATGATGCTTACCAATTGTTGTAATTTTCGCAGAATAGATGATATTCGCAGAGATTGTTTTTGGTCAAATAAAATTCACATTAGCGTTTTATTCGTACATATATGTGTAACGTTTCGTTACCGAATCTTAGATCATATACTAGTAACCATTACCGATAATAAAAACTACCGGCACTACCGTCTTATCCCGACCAGTGAACTTCAAACCCGGCGCGACAAAAACAAAACTCTTCACAATAAACATCAATGTCCTGCTATTGCTGTAAACTCAATATCCATTTTCATTGGACGACTTCGTATATACGTCACATTTGAAGGCTCTATCACAACTGCTCATCAACTTAGCTATAGTTTAACTCACAGAAGAGACCATTCCATCTTCAGAAACGTTTGGATGCAGAATTTATCATGTGCCGAGAACAAACTCAATTGATGGAGCAAGGTATATAAAATGCACAACATTGTGTGCATGTCGGACTCATGATCCATGAATAAATATGGAGTAGTCCAACAAACAGTTTGTTTTGCCAATCTGCCGATGATGCATGTAAGTGTTTGGATCCATAATATTCTTTTTATATAAATCAATTTAGAACCGAAAATAGATTTATAGTGTATATGTCAATTATGGCAGGTAATTTGCAAAATATAGTATTCTTGTATAAAGTATTATCAAATTCTCTGACCATAAACATGCATTAGACACTTCATTTGTCATGTTTGCTTGCCTAGTTACATAAAAGAGGAAAATTTGTCAACTCCGTAAATCTAAAAAAAATATACTGGTTACCATTCATTACCACTGTAGTGGAATATACATTTTGTTTTATCTGACTGAACATTTTACATAAGTCTATTTATTGAGTGATGAATGGTTGATGACAATTATTGAAATAAATGCAAAAAGAAAGTTCAGTAACCTTTAATTGCTTTTATTTTTAGTTTCAAATGTTTTAAATTGATATCAATTTTAAGTTTTAAATTAATTGATTTGTCTGACTTATTATATATTATAAATTGTTTGTGTGTTTCGAGTGCGAATACTCTGGTTATGAGTAGTTATGTTATTTATTCGAATGTATAATAATAAAACTGTATTGCCAATTCACGTCGGGTAAATAGCAAAAACTTAATATTCTTTTATTCTTTCACTACATGCCATGAATATTTTTTGTCAATTTTATTTTTTTTTTATTCTGTTAACATTACAAATATATGAATTTATTAAACATAGAAGGCAGATAATAAAATATGCAATGAAATATTCTGAAAATCAGATACTATTTTTGTTCTAACACATAAAATACAACTATATTTATTGAGAAAATTGAAAAAAATGTATGCTCTATTTGTTTCATTTATGCCATGAAAATCAATTGTATTGTCTCATAAAACTGTAACCTAATTTATTGTTTTTATAAATCACCGAATGTTGTTTAACCCACTGGCTTTACTACCTATATGAACCATGGATTATGGCATATATACATATATCACATTGTGTATTACGTATTACATTTAGTTTAGTATACACATTTTTTTTCTCTTTACACAATTTTATTTCATTTAATTACATACATTACAGTAAACATTAATTACATAATACAAAACGACAAAGACAAGCAAACAAGAGTAACAGAAATAAAACAAAACAAGATAATTGCTAATTCACTGAAATAATATAATAATAATTCACTGATAATAGACCACTTCCCTATTTTAGAAAATATATTCATTGTATTTGTCTGTGCTTTGTTTCTTGTAATTGTTTTCAGAGGTAATAGAGCCATATGCTTTTCAATCTCGCATGCTTCAGTTACCACCTTACGAAAATATACATCACTCGGTATACTCTTACTCATTATACAATTATAAATATATTGCTTCCCTAAAAGTACCAAATAATTTGCCAACACCAAAAAATCAGTACAGCCTAAAATTATCTGCCTGAGGGAAAGAGCATCTGGACCAAAGATGTTTTTAAATACATCACTAAAGGCAAACCAAAATGTTTTTACATATTTACAATAATAAAAAAGATGGTAAGTAGTTTCCGTTTCCTGATGACAGAACGAACAATTCGGACTACTAACCTTTGATGATTTCATTCATAGTATACACATTAAGTAATCAACATGTCAGACAAATACACGATCATACATCGACGGTTAATATAATACACACAACATAACCAGTATTCACTGAAAGTTATGTACAATGTAGTAGGCACGACGTCGAAATCTGAAACAAATAATTATGCTCTTGCAGAATAACTGTAAAAACACATACTCTTACTATATACTCTAAAGTGCGATCCTCACCAGATTTATGAAAGGTACAAATCCATACATCATCTTTTCTCACTTCAAACTTGTCCATGGCATTCAGACTTGAGAGTGGTACATACCATGGGAAGTTGACTCCTTTATAACTGTATGTATCCGTCCGCCACGTCCCATCTTCGTTGAACAGATTCATGGCAGTGTATCAATAAGCTGTTATTACAAAGTCCGCCTAAGAAACAGACAACTATCCGATTTTGATCGAGCGACCATACACTTACTAAATATGTTGTGATTGTGAATTAGTTGTTACATAATTATTTTATACCTAAAACTTCACAATCAACTGTATACATTTGTTGAGAAGAGTTTAGTTTATAAAACATAATTTCACCGGCAAAGTGTGTGAGTAAATCTTTTAATTGAATTATTTGCAGGCTTTGTAAACAACAGAATGGAAGAGAACATTAACTAAAAGACGTTAGTTATATTGAGCTGGGAAAATACTTTTGCTCGTGATAATACATGGGAACATGGTGATTCGATTTTTTACGACCGAAAAATAGACGAACAACGACAGGAAGGACCTGGATATAGTGTACATGCCGTCAAAATTGTGCTCTAGTTTATCACTCTTACGTGCGCATTTGTCCATGTAATAATATCATAAGCATTAAATGTCGTGGGAGAAATTTGAAAGTAAAAATAAATTATATAATAAGAAAAAGTTGTTAACCAATTATAAATTACAAATCATTTTAGAATAGAGCAAAATGTTTTGCTTTGCTTCACTATGTTTGTAACTATAGTTTTTTTCACAATAATATTATTACTTTCACTACTTTTCAATACCTATAAGTATATTATAATTCCCATCGCAAATCTAATTCGATCATATCGTGGGATTCACTTAAACTATTAAACTAAACACTGACATACTAATTGCCGAAATGCTGAGGTTTCGAAGAAATAATTTAAACATGTTAAGAAAAAAAACTACATACTCTTATATCCACTGCGCGTTTAACGGACGTTAAATGTAGTGTTTTGAGTGTAAACTTGTAGCTATACATAGCTACATGCTGCGACCATCAGTATGCCATCGGTAATGACACACACACTTTCAGATATTTGTACGTGTAATATACCTTACTTCTGAGTGTGGTTAGTATTCAGTTTACACTATGATAATGATTAATTACACCTCTCGTGTACAATACGTGATTAGTTCATTATAATTGTTATCCAGACACTTCGTGACAATGCATGAAGACATATAGAACCCTAAAGACCTTAATATTTATTCGAGTGGCAGCATGTGGTACCGAAACATGTTTTGTGACGTCGTTGAATAATCCCTGTATTTTTAGTGTACGTACCAGTACAAATGCTGGTATTCAAATTGATGAATTCAATTGCTATATCATAATGACCAATGTCACGAAATTTCATACAGCATTTATTATACATATATGCATCATCATATAATAAATGCTGTATATATGGAATGAACGTGACACAGAGAGAAAGATGTAGAGAGTGAGAATGAAAGTGTCGGAGAGTGAGTGAACATAATAATCAGTATATTTGGTCGTCTATGATATTAATTCAAGAAACAAAATGATGTTGGGTTATTTTCATATTTGAATGTGTTACTGTTAACGGGTATGTGAATGTGATAAATTAACAGAAAAACGACATACCTTTGTTTACAGATCCACTACAACGTAAACACGTACTCGCCCACGTTTTAAAATGAAAATAGAATACTAGTAATGAATAATTCAGTCATTTATGACGCAGTGCAACAATTGCACTATGATGAATGAGCATGTTAACCTGTATTACATACATATATCTCCAGCTAATGTATTATAATAAAGGAAAGCTGAAACGCACGCATTTTGCGGACTTATATTGCATCATGCATTGACCCTTGCCTAGGAAAATAATTATTCAATATGGCGGACATCGTTATTATATTGGAGGCAACATCTACATATACCACTTAAGGATTCACAATATGATAGAACGTCTCATTATATTATATATATTATATCAAACCCTAAACATCATCCATTTTCCAGTTTTCATCTAAACATTAGATCAATTAGTAAACATTTTGATGACCTTGTTAGTTTTCTTAGCGTAATAGAAAACAAACTATCTATGATTGCACTAACAGAAACTTGGTTACGTAATGAGACTGATTGCTCGCTATTCAATATTTCATCCTACAATTTTATCACCTCCAACCGTATACATTCCCAAGGTGGAGGTGTTGCACTGTATATTCATGACTCATTGTCCTTTTCTCGTGTTAATGATATTGAAATCAGTCATTGTGAGTCACGATCATAGAAAACAAAAAGTTTGTATTTGGAGTTATATAAAGGAAGCCAAATACTCCCCTTCACGAATTCCTAGATACTTTCGAAAAGTGTTTAGATTATATGTCCTCCAAAGACAAAAAAATGTATTATATTTGGTGACTACAATATTGATTTCACGAATCCCAACTCCTGCTAGTTATGTTGCCTTACTGAATAGTTATCACTTTGTTCAAACAAATGATACCCCAACTAGAGTAACGCAGAATACAAACACCATTATTGTTCACGTAATTACAAATATTACAGATTATTTCATCGAGTGAGGTAGTATTGAAACCGATATCAGTGACCATTATACAATCTTTGCTATAATTAAAAACCTTGACCATGTTCTTAACCATAACACATTATTCCATAAATATGACTTTTCACGCTACAATAAAAGCGATTTCATTTCCGATTTGAGTAATATTTCCTGGCAACCCGTATATAACTGTAATGATATTAATTATGCATATGCGACCTTTTGCGACTTGTTCTTAGGTACTATTAAAAAACACGCCCCATTAATTCAAGTCAGTACAAAGAAGATCCCGATACGCAAACCTTGGTTATCAAAGGGGCTAATTATTTCAACTAAATCAAAATTTAAATTATATTGTAAAATGAAAAGATTGCCAAATAATGATGAAATGCGAAATAAATATAAACAATACCGTAATATCTTGACAAAATTGCTTAAGTCAGCCAAAAAAATACTACCATACACGATTTTTGTCTGCCAGTGGGAATATGAACAAAACATGGATGACAATTAATGAATTATTAAATAAAAAGTCTAGCATGACATCACCTAAAGATATTATGGCCAACGACGATAAAAACAGACTATTATCAAAAAGCTTTGATATTGCAACTGAATTTAATTTTTTTTTACCAATATAGGACCCAATCTTGCAGCGACTTATTACTTTCTCTGATTTATATACGCACTCTGCACCTCTCTTTCAACAGCTTGACATCCTTGGCATTAACAAACTCTGCAAACTTCACACTTGTTTGCTCATATTTTACCTTAAGAATAATCGCTTTGCCCATGATATCAGTTATTATATTAATCAGCATTCCCATCGTTACCCAACAACAGCCATTTCCAATGGAAACTTGTCAGTCCCGAAAATGAATTTATCAGTTTAAATAAATCAAATCATATCAAATCAATTTGTGGTAGTTTTTGACCCCATGCTGAAATTCATCCAGGTTGAACGGCATGTGAACAAATTATGTCAAATTCAGATTCCTTACAATTTTCACTATTTAGTAAATACTTTATCAACGAGCTTATTTAAAGAGGTCCATACATAATCAGTAAATTGTTACAAATAATACAATAACTTGGAATAAATTTGAATGAAAATTGTAAAAAAAAAAATATATCGCCATAACACGACGGCCTACCCTTTTGTTCTGTTCGTTCGTTTATAATCATTTCTCTGTGAAAAAGGCATGCGTCGAAACTGAAATAAACCATCAGGTTAGAGAAAAGCTGTCTGTTCTTTAGCCCCCTCACTCATGGGGATCTGCCAGTACCCCTCGGACAAATCAATTTTAGAGTACCAACCATCTTTTAATCGTGAAAATATGTCTTCAGGTGATGGTATTGGTTCTGCATCGAATACTGTAATTCGATTGAGTTTGCGAAATTCAATGCAAAACCTAACGCCCCTCCTTTCTTATTTACCAAAACAATGGGTGAGGCATAAGGTGCATTTGATTGGTCAATTACACCCATCTCTGACATGCTCTTAACCTCTGACCGCACTATATCTGTCATGGTGGATGATAAAGTGTATGGTTTTGACCTAACTGGTTCAGATCTAACTGGTATCGTGCACACACATACTGTTCATCATACCTGGAACCACTTCCATGTCATTCAGTTTGTCCCTTTCATAAAAAAACCCAAACTATCCCGAGGAGCTTCTCTATAAGCAAACAGTACTGGGTCAAGGTACCTATCCCAATCCTTGGGCCGTTCTTGACACATGTGTTTCAACATACTTTTCATGTAAAAACCGTTCAACCAAACCATTGTATGCTGGGTGATATGGTGTAGTTACTAAATGTTTAATAGACAACACTATACTAACTTCCTTTATAATGTCAGGTGTTAAAACATTTTTGGGTACACCAACCCTACTATATACTGACTAATGCATCAGCAACGACTTCTGAGGTAATTTTTTTAATGCTACAGATTCGGGGTATTGAGAAGCATAGTCTACAAAAGTTAAAATGTACCTATAACTCCCTTAGTCGCTGGACTGATCGTTCGAATCTAACACGACTCCTAGAAGTCTTCTGACATATATCATATGATCTGCAATATCTAACATCATACTGCATACCAGGCCAATAAAACTGAGTTGCTATTCTATCTGTAGTCTGCTTAGCATCCAGATGACCTGCCATAACTGACTCATGTGCTAGTACTTGATCACGGTAACACATTGGTATAACTAATTTCCTAGCAAGCTCTAATGTGGAACCATACTGCTGTGCCTCTCGCACTGCGACCACATTAATATATTTCTTACCATCATTAGTATCAATCTTACTATGCAACTCTTTAAACTACTATAGGCCTATGTAATATTGTTTGTTTTTTTCTGAACCCTAGTCTGTACCACCTGTGCAACATCTAAACTATCATCCTGACTAGAATCAATGAAGGGTTCACAACCACTCCCATTAACTGAATGCTAACTTAACTCAACTCAACACCTGGACACCATATAGGGCACACTAGCCTGTTTATTAGTAGATGTACAACCTTTACTACCTAAGGTACCTAAGTTTAATCAATATAATGCAAACGAGGTACAACTTTTAACTGACTAACTAGCTGTTTTTACAATACACATCTAAATTAAAATTAAAACTATTAATTTACTACTACAACAACAACAAAATACGAGTAAATAACGATGTTGATATACGAATTATTAAAGAGTAAATAAATGAATATTTAATAAACCGTCTAACCTAAAATTCTCGCGTATATAGTAATGCTTAGATTAATTTGTGGCTTCAATTGAATCTCTTTCTTTTCTGCTACCACGTGTAGAATCACTTAAAGTTATTTTCAACCGACGTCGTTTTTTGCTCCAAGATAAATTAAGATGTCGTAATTTTCGTGTGCCATTAGTCATGGCATGGAGAACGACTGAAATAAATAATAAAGTCATTGGGTATATTTCCAATATCAGCTAGTCCAGACATAAGTAATATAACCATTGTGAAGCCATAGTGGTCACTGGAACTAAATGCACTGTTCCTGCAATGCACAATGAATACATCGGATTGAAGCACTTATTGAAGTCCTATCATGTCTGCACAGAGGTAACTCCATGGAATGTCTGTGGTGTGGTATCCCTGAATTGCGTGTAGTTCATCGAAACATTGCGTCAAATTCTCTTATATCTCTACCATTTTCAATTCTAATGGCAACTCACTTTTCGTATTTCTGTTTACACCCATTAATTCGGTTTGCAGTATCTTGAAGCAGTTCACCTGCACCAATAGAATAACTTAAATAACTAACAGTATTTTTTTACATCCGCATACTGCGGAATATCATGTGATATATTTCAGCATATCTGCATCTTAATAATCAATCAATTCCATTACATACATTTAGTTACGGTATTTGGGGTAATATAACCTCGCGACCATCCACTGTAATGCGAATACTATTGCATTATCACAACTTGCTACTTAACATTTTGCGAGCCCAGGGTTTAATTGTCGGTATTTGAAAGCTGTTCCAGGTACGTGATTCGACTGTCAAACAAAACAAACTTATTTGTTTCAGCGAACTTGATACTCGATCAAATAAGCGTTAATACAATCAATACAAGCGTGAACCTTCTGATCACGCAGTAAACAGATTTGCATACATTATAATTTACTTATTTCATAACACAATGTTCACCGATTTATTAAGACAATATATAAATAGTCTCCAAGGTACACGTACACAAACCATAAGTCGTTTTTTTATTTCAATTTTCAAGAAGCTATTTATTTCACGTACCCAGGATAAATTAATATATGCGTGTTCACATTTGTTGTTAGTCATACTAGGAGATTGGCCAACCCATGTTACCTACTGGTGGAAAGGAAAAAGACGATGACAATGTCCTTTTTTTTAAATATGAAGACATTGTAAAGGTAATGGAAACAAATTCAACAATACGATAATCTACAGTGATAGTCCTGTCTTAAGTGCTAACAAGAGACAACATTGAACGGGCTGTGGGAATGTTAGCAAAGTTCACTATCGAGAAAGTAAACAAATTACAACAATTGTTTAAATTTAGTTTACACTAATTCACCAGTAGACACTTTTGTACCGAACTCGACCTTTGAATTTACTCATAGTGGTCGACATATTTAATTTTGCCCGGATATATCTGTACAAACACGTTACTTTGATTATCCAAGTAGTAACAAAAGTCGTACAGGACACGCTTATGTCACGCTTCATGAATGAACTTTATCATCTTTGTCGTATAGGACTTAGAAGGAACAGTTAAAATGGTATGTACTTTTATGGAGAAAACACTGACATTGGAAAACCTTCGAGGAATAGCCGAAAATTGCACGTTTGAGGCAATGAAAAAGCAAAAGGTGCGGGATTATGTTTGTGAATTTCATAAAATAGACCCACCTCTATCACTATTCGTCAGAAAAGGTAAGGTATTTGTCTTACATTTCAGTGTTTTTTTTCGTACACGTTTGAATTAAATCCTTACTTCGAAATACAGAACATGCAACACATTAAGAATTGGGCCACTAAGAAACGATATTGCATATTGTACTTTTATGGACATTGATTAGTATTACTATAATATTACATCTGTTACATTTTTTATTGCAGTAAAAGGTGGTGGCTGGAAACAATATTTTACTGTTTCCCAAAACGATGAATTTAATAATTGGTATGAAAAAGCGGTTCAGGGCACTGGATTATCATTCGATTTTCTACCAAACACTAGTCAATTATTGTAATTTATCTATTTTTGAAAACACATACTTTTAAAATAATTATTGATATTCAGATGTATGCAACTGTAACCGATTGAAATAAATAGACCTTAATGATTTCATACGATTAAGAGTAGGTTCTAACTGAGTATGTATTGTAAGTCAATAGATCCAGGGTACGATAGTTGGTACATGTTAGTGTATGTATACCAGCTGGTGTTTATTGATACTTGAGAACCCACTATCAGTTGTGAGAGTGACAGTTTAGTGAAAGAATTAGTGTTATGGCTAGTGTGTGTGAACTTCAGTTAAAACTACAGGGAAAGTACGAATTAGGTCAAAGCCAATTATGCGGTAATGAATATAATTAGCAAAGATTTAATGTTTGAAGATTAGCCGTAGTATATCATAGATAATTTGTGATTTTTATTAGGAGTTTTTGAGCGTTGCTTAATTGCTTCAAGAATTACTGTGTTTGAAATAGGTTTCCTATACAGGGTACTATAACTTTCTTGGTAGCTATGGGGGTAACCATGGAGACCAACTTGAAGATGAAATCACTTATTACAAGCAAGTTAATGGCTACTTAGTACTAATTAGGGCAGAAATTAATTAGAATAGCTTAATAAGCAATTGAGGTGATTAATATTAATTAGTCGCGAAATTAATAAGTTAACTAATTAGACATATGATAATAATGTATTGACATAAGTTTCTTTATTTTTTAGTTTTATT